GTAAACTATCAATTTTGTGCGAAAAGATTATTTTTTTTGTTGATAAAGACGAGAACAAAATTTAAGCGAACATAACAGAAATTTAGGTAAACCTTGTGAAATAAGTTTTACACTTATTAAAGGATTACATAAATCGTAAATCCTAAATTAAAGCATATTAATCTATGTATCAAGCTCAAAAATAGAATATTAATGGGGGTTGAATGAGAAAATGTAATGGTATCCCTTATATATTATTTAGAAAGTGATATATTAGAGTGTGTTTATATGTCAATTTTATAATCAATTTAAAGAAAAATCATTCTAAACTACACGAAGAATATTCCAACGCATGGCTACACATCCAAACTAATTTAATGTATCAAAATCTACATCAAGTATTGAATTTGCATGAGGAGATTCCCGAACAAATATAGGTAATGTGACTAACATTATAACTATCACTTTTATCCCAGTTTTAATGTATCGCATGACATAATCGGTAAAATCTGGTTAGACCAACAAAAAAAACAGTAGATTGTACCATATTTTTCCGATTTCAATCTTTTTATCAAGCATCTTCAATACCATATCCTCAAATATGGAGGTAAGAGAATTCACCTCCACCACATCAAGCACTCCATATACGTAATTCAAGACCCCATTTTCTATTTTGAATTGGCCAGACTATGGCAATTCACTTTGACAAAAATTTCATGATTACAAGACAATGATAACAAAGAAAAATCAGTCCCACATCAAGACAAAATAGTATGCAATTTCTCATAAACAATTATAAATAAATATAATAGTAAAAAAAACAATAAGAAACGGACATAAACTGACATGATATCAAAACTATAAACTTTGTTTTCAAGGAAAACAAACCCTGAAATCTACTTTAGAAATAGTGTAATATAATTGCCACAAAACCCAAGACGAAATCGAAGGAAAATTTTCAAACCAAAGACAAAATCGAAAGAAAAGATCAAGACCAAGTAAATAATAATACCTCATCAAACGAGATTTAAATACGAGTTAGACTTTAATGGAGATTTCAATCAGTAATTTGAGTAGACGCCTCCAGTTTTAATTGAACACGATGATCCTTTTCCTTTCTAAAAAATTCTAGGTGAATACTTACAAATTTAGACCGATAGAATTGAACTTAGTATAG